GCGACTTTTCTGAAAATTATTCATTTATTATTCAAAACTCAACACAGGGGTATCATTGGAACAATAATCAAGCTACGATACATCCTTTCGAAATTTACTACATAAAAGAAAACAAGTTGGAAAATTTAAGCTTTATTATTATTTCAGAAGTATTGACCCATGATACAATAGCAGTTCAATTATTTATATCAAAATTGTTAGATTTCATTAAAAAATCTATTAGTTTCACAAAAATTACTTTCATGTCAGATGGAGCAGCGGCTCATTACAAAAATAAAAAGAATTTTGCCAGTTTGTGCAACTTCAAGTCCAAGTATGGATTGGAAGCAGAATGGCACTTCTTCGCAACGTCTCATGGGAAAGGCCCATGTGACGCAATTGGAGGAACTCTCAAACGAATGGCAAAGAGAGCAAGTCTTGCTCGAGATTATGGAAACACAATCACAACTCCACAAGAACTGTATGACTGGGCAGTTAAACAAACAGATACAAGCATAACAAAATTGAACTTCTGCTTCATATCAAATGATCAATACACAAAGATGTCCGATGAACTCAAGGAGCTGTTCAGTCATGTAAAAACTATACCTGGTACACAAAAATTTCATTGTTTTGTACCTATTTCTCAAAACATAATTTCTACTAAGCGATTTTCACATTCAAAGGAAACTCCGAAAAATTTCACTCTGTTTCCGATAGACTAATAATCAATGAAAAACTCAAATTATGTATGGAGAATTATAGGAAAATAAATTATGCACTAAACAAAAACACTAGAGTTTTCATTCAAACGCGCAGTCCGCATCGTGCTCTCTTGCCGTGCGGATCTATTTGCTTTTTGCTACGATCTAGAAGTATTATCGTACGATTTTGCTTCGATCCTTGTTTGGACCCTACCCGAGGTAATCCTTCTTGGATATCGATTTGGAAAATTCCTCTTCGATCCTTCAGATTCTTATAGTAATCTGCTTGGAAGTCGATTTGGATAAAAATTTACTGCCGCCATGGCGCCTAAACGCAAAAGAAAGGGGCAAACTCTTGACCCCCCTTCTGATGAAATTAATTTGAGTAATCAATTTGATTTGCTCACGGATGATGAGAATGATCCATCATCCAGGAAAAATTCTAGTAAACTTTCCCGGCTTAATGCCAAGAAGGAAAAGATTCCCCCTATTGTGATAACCACTACCGATTTCCATGCTCTTCGCATGGAACTTTTGAATTTCGTGAAAGTTAAGTTTTCACTACAAATTGGACGTCGGGGTGAATGCCGTGTATTGGCTGAAACCTTGGACGGATTTAAATGTCTTCTCAAGTATCTTACTGAGAAGAAGCACAAATTTTTTACTTACGACACCAAAACTGAACGTGTGTTCAAGGTTGTCATGAAAGGACTGCCCAGTGGTGAATCCCTGGATCAGATCAAAGATGAACTGGCAAAATTACTTGGAGTTGTGCCACTCCAAGTAATCAAAATGAAAATGAAATCCCGTCCTGGCGATTCGCGCAACGGGATTTCTAATGATTTTTATTTAGTTCACTTCAAGTCTAGTGAACTAAACAACCTTAAGGCCTTAGAAAAAGCTAGCCTTATGCTCCATGTCCGAGTGAAGTGGGAACACTTCAGGAAGACTGGAGGAAATCTCCAAAACCTCACTCAGTGCCGTAAGTGCCAGGGATGGGGCCACGGAACTAAAAATTGCTACATGCCAGCTAAATGCATGAATTGTGGTGATTCCTCTCACGCAAAGGACGACTGTCCTGTGAAGGAAGATCCTAAGAAATTTAAATGTTCAAATTGTGGTGAAAACCACAAATCCAATTTTTGGGAATGTAAGACTCGCAAAGCGATCCTACAATCTCGTTCTAACCGACAGGTAGGAAACGCTCCACGTTTCCGAACAGGTACAAATTACTCTGCTATTAACAACGGTCAGCGAGGAACAAATTCTACATTCGTACCCGTAGGTACAAATATCACCCCAGCTTCAAATGTTTCATCTGTACCTACTCCCCTTGCTGCTAACAATGTTCAGCGAGTTAATGGAGCTACCTATGCTGCTATTGCAGCGGGTAGAAATCAAAATACTAACCAACGTTCTAACGGAAATTTTGACAATTTTGACTTAGGAAGCATTACTGCTCCTAAAATGAAATTTTTACAGAATTCATTAATTGACATGATTTCTGATATGCTTAAATCTAACTCCATGTTTGATGCTATTCAAACTGGAGTAAAATTTGCTAATAATATTGTCATGACTTTAAAATTCAGTAATGGATTTTAAAGCATTAAACATTTTAAATTGGAATGCTCGATCTCTTAAAGATAATGAAGACGAGCTATTTAATTTTTTGAGAGTTCATAACGTGCATATTGCCGTTATAACTGAAACGTTCCTTAAACCTGGCCATAAGGTTAAGAAGGACTCAAATTATTTAATTTATAGAAATGATCGTCTTGATAAACCCTGTGGTGGCGTTGCCATCATTATTCATAGACGAATCAAACACAAAATACTTTCTTCATTTGAAACCAAAGTTTTTGAAACTTTGGGAGTTTCTGTTGAAACAAAATTTGGACAACTTACGTTTATAGCTGCCTATTTGCCATTCCAATGCGTAGGCCAGCAAAAGAATTTTCTCAAGGGTGACCTTCAGAAACTTACCCGTCATAGGTCTAAATTCTTCATTATTGGTGATTTTAATGCAAAACACCGCTCATGGAATAATGCTCAAAGCAATTCCAATGGTAATATTCTGTTTGATGATTGTTCTGCAGGTTATTACACTATTCAATATCCAAACAGCCCAACATGCTTTTCTTCTGCAAGAAATCCTTCAACTATTGATTTGGCCTTAACTGATTCATGTCATCTTTGTAGCCAATTGGTTACCCATGCTGACTTCGGTTCTGATCACCTTCCAGTAACTTTTGAAATATCCCAAGAAATAATTTCCAATCCCAACAGCTTTACTTTCAATTAACATAGGGCTGATTGGGAGCAATATCGAACATTTATGGAATATAACTTCGATCCAAACATTCCTTTGCAAACCAAAGATGAAATTAATTATGCTCTTGAATCTCTGACTACTTCTATAGTTGAAGCAAGAGCTGCCTCAGTACCAAAATGCGAGGTTAAATTCGATTCAATTATAATAGACGATGATCTTCAGCTCTTGATCCGTCTTAAAAATGTCCGTAGGAGACAATTTCAAAGAACACGCGATCCTGCCATGAAAGTTATCTGGCGGGATTTGCAAAAACAAATTAAAAAGCGATTCTCTGCCCTGAGGAACAAAACTTTTGAAAATAATGTTTCTAAATTAGACCCGAGTTCCAAACCCTTTTGGAAACTCACAAAAATTTTGAAAAAACCTCAAAAGCCAATTCCAGCGCTTAAAGAAGGTGGTAAAATTTTGATCACAAATTTGGAAAAAGCTCAGAAACTTGCTAAGCAATTCGAGAGTTCCCATAATTTCAGTTTGGGTCTTACTAGTCCTATTGAGAATCAGGTTGCTGGGGATTTTCTGAATATTTTCTCTCGGGAAAATATTTTTGATGATTCCTGGGGGACTGATTTGGACGAAGTAAGGTCTATAACTAAAAAATTTCAAAATATGAAAGCTCCAGGTGATGATGGAATTTTCTATATCCTTATCAAAAAACTCCCAGAGAGTACCTTGTCTTTCTTGGTAAAATTATTTAACAGATGTTTCCATTTGGCATACTTTCCTGATAAATGGAAAAATGCAAAAGTTGTTCCAATTTTGAAGCCGGATAAAAATCCAGCTGAAGCTTCTAGCTACCGTCCAATAAGTTTGCTTTCTTCAATAAGTAAACTTTTTGAAAAAATAATTTTGAATAGAATGATGCTTCACATCAATACGAACTCAATTTTTGCAGATGAGCAGTTTGGATTTCGCCATGGGCATTCAACTACTCATCAACTCTTGAGAGTTACCAATTTAATTCGTTCAAACAAATCTGAAGGCCACTCAACTGGAGTTGCTCTTCTAGACATAGAAAAAGCATTCGACAGTGTTTGGCATGAAGGTTTGATTGCTAAATTGAAAAAGTTTAATTTTCCACTTTACATTATGAAATTAGTTCAAAATTATTTAACTGACAGAACTCTGCAGGTAAATTATCAAAATTCCAAATCTAATCGACTACCTGTTAAAGCAGGAGTTCCTCAGGGTAGCATTCTTGGGCCTATATTGTATAACATTTTCACTTCGGACCTCCCTGATTTGCCTCAGGGTTGCCACAAATCTTTGTTCGCTGATGACACAGGCATTTCCGCTAAAGGAAGAAGTCTTCGTGTTATTTGCAGCAGACTTCAGAAAAGTTTAGATATTTTCTCTTCTTATTTACAAAAATGGAAGATTTCTCCCAACGCTTCCAAAACTCAACTTATAATATTTCCACATAAGCCTAGGGCTTCCTTTTTGAAACCTAGTAGTAGTCACATAGTCACTATGAACGGAGTTCCAATTTCCTGGTCAAACCAAGTGAAATATCTTGGATTAGTTCTTGACCAAAAATTAACTTTTAAAGATCACATTGAGGGCATTCAAGCCAAATGTAACAAATATATAAAATGTTTGTATCCTCTTATAAACAGGAAATCCAAACTTTGCCTGACGAATAAACTTCTAATATTTAAACAAGTTTTTAGACCGGCCATGCTTTACGCCGTGCCAATATGGTCTAGTTGTTGCACTACCAGGAAAAAAGCACTCCACACTAAGTCTAAGTCTCCACACCCACAAAGTTTCATAAGGTTCTGAGAGGGTGCTGCCAACTCCGAAGACGAGTTGGCGTGAAATCCGTCAATTGTATAATTTGGGAAAATCAGAGCCTTCCCCTGAAAGGTCTCATACGGTCGGGCAACCCTATCCCTGGTAGGTGGTCTCCTTCGGGAGTGGCGCTTAAACCACTTTTACTTGAAAACGGGCTGACCGGTTACATTTGGCGCCCAACGTGGGACAATATGCGCCAACACTATCGGTCCAAAATCTCTCTGGTTGAGGTAAAGGACCTCAGTCACTTGATTCGTCTGAATCATCGCATTGATGCGGCCGACCCTCAACTACAACAACAGTCAGGAGAGATGCCAGTACGTAGACCTGTGAACCAGATTTCTGCTGACCAGAGTGACTACGAGAGCGATCAATCGGCATCAATCAATGCGATCGGAAACCGAATTAACAGGAATATTCGACAAGTAATTCAGCAACCCAACCCAAGGGAACAACAAAACACTTCGACATACCAGGGTAATCAACAGCCCAACCAAAGGGAACAGCAAAGTGTAGCGACTCATCAAAGAAATCCAAGCCAGGCAAACACACTCAGTTGTTGGAACTGCCAGGAACGAGGGCATAGCTGGAGACAGTGCCAAAGACCATTGGTGGTATTTTGCTATGGTTGTGGAACTGTGAGCGCTGCTCCAGACCGACGGATGGTACAACCCAAAACCAGGGAAACGAGTAAAGAGGGGTGACGCTGGGAAGTCGTTAATCCCTCCGGTAGCCGATATTCCCAAAACATCATCAACTAATCAAATCTATGATCCCTTCTATCAAATTTACCGCATCAAAATCCGTAACACGAAATGTCCTCATATAAAGGTAAAGATTTTCGAGTCCGAATTTGAAGCCCTGTTGGACTCTGGCGCGGGCATTAGTGTCTTAAATTCACTCGACATTGTCAACAGGTATTCGCTGAAAATACAACCTGCATCCATTCGAGTAACAACCGCCGATGGTTCAGCTTACGGTTGTCAAGGGTACGTTAACGTGCCGTTCTCGTTCAAAGGAGTCACCAAAGTGGTCCCAACTTTAGTTGTACCGTAAATATCTCGTCATCTGATTTTGGGGGCGGACTTCTGGATGATTGACGTAGGTCAGGGTCTTGAAGAATTAGATACAATTGAACGTGGAAATAAGTCACCACTTTACTTCACTATCGAACCGTCTGGAGAGCTACCAAAACTGGAAAACCTATAGGAAGAGGACACGCTGGAAATTCCAGTCTATGAAGGACCAACCGATTCAACACCCGATCTAGACAGTATAGAAACCGAACACAACCTGATGGAGGATCAACGGAGGGAACTTTCGAACGTGGTTAGGCACTTCGAGCTAACGTGCGTGGGAAAACTCGGACGAACGAGTCTGATTGAGCACGAGATCGTTCTCAAGGAAGGCGCTAAACCTCGAAATCCCCCGATGTACAAGTGCTCCCCATACGTGCAACAGGCCATTAACGACGAGGTAGAGCGCTTCAAGAAGCTAGATGCGATAGAGGAATGTTATAGTGAGTGGACCAATCCACTTGTCCCGGTTCTCAAAAAAAAAAAAACGGGAAAGTACGGGTGTGTTTTGACTCGAGGAAAATCAACAAATTAATGGTTAAAGGATTCTTACAAGTGGACGAAGGAAGCAGAGGACGGCTTTCGAGAGTTGAAATCGGTGCTGACATCGGCGCCGATTCTGGGTAATCCGGATTTTACGAAGACTTTTACGATCGAGTCGGACGCTTCCGACAGGGCTGTATGAGCTGTCACTTCTTTATCGTACATCCAAAGAGTTAATTATTTCCTTTTCTTATATTTTCAAAGAAAAGAAAACGCCTTGACCAATTAAGAAGTTTTTCTATTCTTTTTATATACACGAAAGAAAATTCCAAGAGTGACTATAATAAACAAAAATAGTCAATCTAATACATGTCATACTTTTCTGGGAAATGGTACATTCTGGGGAATGAGATTCTGGGGAATAGTTTTCTGGGGACTGTTATAGAACCGTTTCTCCAACTCGATTTCCAAGCAGATGACTGTAATATACCGAAGGATCGAAGAGGATTACCTCGGTCAGGATCCAAACGAGGATCGAAGAGGAATAAGAGTCGAAAAATGTAGGAAATTTGCAGATAAGAGAAGTGTTGTTCAAATGTGTTGTAGCTTTAGGCAGCAGTAACGCTACCTTCAGCAATAATATAATACACAGGACTATAAAAAATGGATAAACAACTGAATTAATAATAAATTAATAATAATAAAAAAAAAATTGTGTATTTTTATGATAAAGCACAGAGTGAAAGAAGATTTTGAATCGAATTAATTATTGTTTGCCCCTTCAATATTTTGTAATTTTTAAGGTGGGGAGGAACAAGTTTAAAGACATTTTTTCTATGGTGCATTTAATCTGGGGATGGGAAGTACTCCAAAGTGCGTGGAAGATGGTGCTGTCAACCCACCACTGCTTTCCTACGGTTTAATTTAGCTAATTTTATAAATTTTTTGCTCCGGTGGTGGTTCATCTTCTTCAATGCAAACTGCTTTCAGACAGCCAATGGAAATTGGCAATTTAATCCCATTGACGATGTCGATGATGAACCGTCCCAAAGTACCGCCAGTCGGGGTGACAAAAAATGATGCCGAACATTCAACATGTTTTAAAGATGATATAAAGGACAAACCCGAATTTATTGCAACGCACATACACAGCTGTAACTTTTTAACTATGTTAACAAATGACTTGAAATTTTCAGAGAAGATTCTTAGAGGATGTTTTAGTAAGACAACAATAGACCAAGGTTCAATGGCAAACTAATACCCACTTTTCAATTAGGGAATCCAAAAGCTATCTTTAAACTCTATACAGTTGCGAAAAAGTCCATCCTCAGAATTCCTTGAGGTTCTTTTCAAAATTTTTAGAACTCTATGGGCTCTTTTGAAATGCTTCTCAGAAGTCCTTTGGAATTATTTTAGAACTCTTCTAGACTTTTAGTCAGAACACCTTGGAACTGAAATTCCCTTAAGGCCCACGCACATTAGATCCGGATTGGACGCGTTGCGGTAAAGTGACAGCTAAATCTATTGTCTAACTGTCGAATTAACGTCAACGCAACGCAAACGGATCTAATGTGGGTGGCCCTTTAGAGTTTCAGAATAATTTTCTCAATAAATTATTCCCGGAATGAGCCAGCAATTATCGGTACTCCCTTGAAATTTTCCTCCAAATCTCTTTGGAATTTCACTTAAAATTCAATTTTCTCGGTATTCTTTTCGGAATTATCTTGGATTCACTAGAAATTATACGCAGAATTTTCTTGGAATACTCCCCAGAAATCCCTTGGAACTGTCCTCAGAATTAAATATCCTTGAGGTTCTTCTCGGATTTTTTTAGAACTCTCCTAAGAGCTCTTTTGAAATTGTTTTCAGAAGTCAACTGGAATTATATTTAGAACTCTTCATGATTTTTTTTTCAGAACACCTTGGAACTGAATGAACTAGAAATTATCCTCGGAATTCGCTTTGGAATTTCACTCAAAATTTGATTTTCTCGGTATTCGTTTTGAAATTATCTTGGAACTATCTGTAAGATGCACTAGAAATTATCCGTAGAATTTTCTTTGAATTCTCCTCAGAAATATTTTGGAACTTTCATGAGATTTGAATATCCTTGAGGTTCTTCTCGAAATATTTTAGAACTATTTTTTCTCACAACACCTTGGAACTGAAATTCCTCTAAAGTTTCAGAAGAATTTCCTCTGCAATCTCGAGAAATTCTTCCCAGAATGAGCTTGACATTTTCCTCGGAATTCCCTTGAAATTTTTCTCAACTTCCCTTTCATTCAAAATTTGATTCTCTAGGTATTCTATTTGAAATTATCTTGGAACTAACTGCAGGATTCACTAGAAATTATTCGCAGAATTTTCATGGAATCATCCCCAGAAATCTTTTCTTTTAGAACTGTCCTCAGAATTCAATAACCTTGAGATTCTCCTCGGAGGTCAAGCTTAAGTTGCCCGCCCATTCACCAAAACGTTGTTGTTTTTCCACCAGAAATGTTCAATAAAGCTTGTCCCTCCATTCACCAGAACTGTGCAATTTTTACATCAGGGATTCAGCTTGCCTCTCCATGCAGCAGATTGTTGCAAATCTTACACCAGAAATTTTCAATACAAACTTTTCCACCAAATAAAGCTTACCCCTATTTTCAGATTTTTCATCATAATTTTTCAGTAAAGCAGCTTCCTTCCAATCATCAGAATGGTGCAAATTTTGCACCAGAAATTATTATTAAAGTTTGTTTCTCTATTCAGCAGAAGCATGCAAATTTAAGACCAATTTTTTTTTTCAAAAAGCTTGCCCATTAGAGTGATGCAAAATTTGAAATTTTCGCTCCACAATACTTAAACGATTCCAAATCGGATCGTGACTAACCTCTCAAAATTTGAACCCATTTGGTGAGAAACTGAGATGGCACAAACCATTTGAAGTTTGTATGGGAATTACTATGGTAAAACTAAGATTTTTGTTCATGTCTATCTAATAATTCACCATATCGATCTGCTTTAAAAACTTTCAATTTTACTTGTAGGAAATTTTCCCAGCTACAAGTTAGCTCAAGACCACTTTTTGATTAAATGCAATGATCGAAAGTTATCAATGGTTCAATGCGCTGATGTCTTATGATCATGCTCAATCAACTGCTCAGCAGGCAACATTGGTGTTTCTGGGGCGTTGAATAGGACACAAAAATCGTGGCTACTATGTCACACTGCAAAATACAGTGTTGCCTACAGAGCAGCTGCTTGATCATGTCATAAGTTTACCAATCTCTTAAATAATTAATAACTATTTCCTGTCTCGTTTTACATAGAATCGATTTTCAGCAAAGTTGTAGCTGAGAAAATTTTCTATAAGAATAGCTATCGAGCTGTTTTGCAGCTCAATATGGAAAAAGACTAGAAGGCAATGAACAAAAAGTTGAGATTTCCCATAATAATTTACATGTAAACTTCAAATGGTTTGTGCGAAGTCTGTTTCTAACCAAATGAGTTGTATCTTTTGGAGGCTAATCACGACCCGATTTGAAACCATTTAAGCACTGTGGAGCGAAAAAGTCAAATTTTGCATCAGTCTTTTGCCCATCCGTTCACCAGAACGGTGCAGATTTTCCACCAGGAATTTTCAATATAGCTTAATTTTAAATAAAGCTTGTGCCTTCATTTACCAGACCGGTACAAGTTTTCCACCAGAAATTTTCCGTTCATTTCATTTATCAGAGCAATGCAAATTTTGCACCAGAAATTTTCAAAAAAGCATGCTCCTCCATTCACCAGAAGGGTGCACCAACAATTTTCAGGGAAGTTTGTTTCACCATGCACCTTTGTGGTGTAATTTTCAGGTTTTGCCTCTTCATGCACCAGAATGCTGCAAATTTTTCACCATGAATATTCAATGAAGCATTGCATTGCATTCATCAGAACGATGCAAATGATGCACCAGAAAAATTAATAAACCTTGCTTCTACATTCACCTCAGTGTAGCGAATTTTCCACCAGAAATTTTCTGTTAAGTGCGCACCTCCAAATTTTTTGGCGTGATTCAATTTTTCCAATATTTATTTTGATTAGTCCCTCCATGCACCACCTTGATGATATTTTTACACCAGAAATATTAAATAAAAAACTTTTCCTTCTATTTACCACAACGAAGGTGAATTTTTTCAACCTTAAATTTACCCTCTTCTTTTAACCCTTCATTAACCACCTTGAAAAAACAAAAAAAAAAAAAATTAGGCCAGATTTTTTTTTGCATGCACCACTGTGGTGCAATTTTTTGACCAAAAAATTTCATTGAAGTTTGTTTTCAGGCACCATCTCAAAGGAATTAGTTATCAAAGTTATTTTATATCATTATTTTGTAATTGTGGAAATAAAAATCTTATTTATAAAAGGGGAGGCAATTGCCCAACTTTGCCCCACCCTGTGCACGCCAGTGGTTTTGACAGAACTATGCTGTGGCTACTAGAAATACTCAGAGGGATAGATAAGCGGAGAGAATGTTTTGAGCCAAATGAAATGTCAAAATCTGAGCCAATCGAACATTCCCAAAAGAATTGTTCCGAAGATTTTTTTTCCTTACTTGATTAAATTTGAGAGTATTGCAATCGAACAGAAATTCAATCACCTTTATGTTTCGTGTGCTTCTCAAATTCAACTAGTTTTTTTAATCAAAAACAATATTCTAATTCTATTGATTAATTGATCTTAGTTGCACCAAGAAATGTGCAAAATATTGCGATGCACTCAATTATTATTTTGCACGTAAATCGAATCAATAGTAAAAGTCATGTGAAATGCTGGCTTCTAGCAAGGGTTGTCAGATAAGTTAGGTACAAATCCCTGCAGCCGAATTGTATTTTGTTTTCTCCGCCTATTTCTAGTAAAAACAATGTAAGTGAAAATCAATAATTGCCCATACTAATTCGCCGAAATCATCACACAAATTTCAAATCATTGACGTGACCTTTAAACCTTCATCACTCTTTACCAATGTTTGCACAGGTTCGTGTTTTTTGGTTATGAATCGAACTGGAGGGTGGCCTATCAGAAATTTCAAAATGAAGCACCCTAATAATCAGCTTATTCAGACATTTACTGAAATTTTAAAATTTTAATAAACACTCAAACATACAAAATAGCTGGAGATCCATCTACTGTCGCCTCAACTTCACCCCCTTCAAAAGGATATCGAACGCGAATTCATTCAATGTTTCACTCGACCGTATATGCTACGTTCCGCATGACCGCGCAAACGCGCCCTATCCGTTGGTTGCCAGGTTTCGTCACTACACCAAACATTACTGGTTGTGGCAAAACAATTGATTGGAAAATTGTTGGATTCTTGTTTTCATCATGGTTGGTATAACATTATATATTTTTTTAATATTTTACAATTGATTTGTCTCAATTGAAGATCCTTTCCCGCACCAAGTCGGAATCCGCCAAAGGGAGTCGTAATTCGGCCGGTTCAAGCAGCGCTAAGACGGCAGTGATTCCAACGTTCGAAGAGTTTCTCCTGAGAAGGGACTATGTGGGTGCGAAAACTGTACTGCAGGTGAAAATTCTCATTCCGACGTAATGCAAGTAATGCGTAGTTTTAAAACGGGGAATACCTTTCAGTGTTCGAAGGATTATGACGAAGTATCGGAGTTGCTGAAGGAGCTGTGGGTTGCATTTTGCAACTTTCACATCGGCGACTACAAAGATGCACTGGATCAGTACGAGAAAATCTACTCCGACGATCAGACTCAGAAGGATGTGGCGTTGAATATTTGCGTCTGCATGTTCTACCTGGGAATGTACGAGGAAGCGCAGAAATTGGTGGAAGAACTGCCGGAGAATCCGTTGAAAATTCGCTTGCTGTTCCACTTGGCTCACAAGTTGAGCGAGGAGGACCGATTGATGGAGCTGCATGGATCGCTGAGAGATGTCGTCGAGGACCAGCTGAGTCTGGCTGGGATGCATTATCTGCGATCTCACTACCAAGAGGCGATTGATATCTACAAGCGAGTTTTGCTGGATAACAAAGATTTGTTGGCGCTGAATGTGTACATTGCTATCTGTTACTACAAGTTGGATTACTATGACATTTCGCAGGAAGTGTTGGACTTGTATCTGAACCAACATCCGGACAGTACGATTGCTATCAATTTGAAGGCATGTAATCGATTTCGTCTGTTCAACGGACGTGCTGCGGAGCAGGAGATTAAGAACATCGTAGACAACGGGACATTTGGAGCGGATTTGATCAAACACAACCTGGTGGTGTTCAAGAATGGCGAAGGTGCTCTGCAGGTTCTGCCGCAGTTGATCGACATCGTACCGGAAGCTCGACTAAATTTGGCAATCCATCACCTTCGCCGTGGAGAGATACAGGAAGCACACCAACTGATGAAGGAAGTTCAACCTTCGGTTCCTCAGGAGTACATTCTTAAAGGCGTGGTACATGCCGCTCTTGGTCAGGAAACTGGTTCCAAAGAACATCTTAAGAATGCCCAACAGTGTCTCCACCTGGTGGGTGGATCAGCTTCGGAATGCGACACAATTCCAGGCCGTCAGAGCATGGCATCAGCATTCTTCCTGTATGGGCAATTCGAAGAAGTTCTCGTATATCTAAACTCGATTCGCAGTTACTTCGTCAACGACGACGTATTCAATTACAACTACGCTCAAGCAAAAGCCGCCACAGGTTACTACAAGGAAGCCGAAGAGCTACTGCTGCAAATCCACGACATAACAATCAAAACGGACCACACCTATTCCATGGTACTGGCCAAGTGTCATGTTCACTCCGGCCATGCCGACCAAGCGTGGAACATTTTCCTAACCAAAGATTCAACCCCGGAGGCGTTCGCCCTTCTGCAACTAATCGCCAACGATAGCTATCGGGTGGGTGAATTTTGGGTGGCAGCCAAAGCATTCGATACCCTTGAGAAATTGGATCCGAACCCGGAGTATTGGGAAGGCAAACGGGGTGCCTGTGCTGGGGCGATCCAAGCCATTCTGGCTAAACGGTCGAACGGGGCGCCACCGGGAGGCGTTGCTGAGGTGATTGCTTTGCTGCGGGACACGACCAACAGTCAGGCGGAAAGCATGCTTCGGACGATTAGACGATTTGCCAGCAGCATCAAATAGATTGTACCGAGAGGGGTTAATGAGCGAGAGTTTGAATATTGATAAAGTTTCCTTTTGAGTGTGTAGCCACTGGGGTTGAGCTGTTCAGCATAGAATAAACTCTTTCAGCGAGTGGAATTTTTGTTTGTTCGTCCATTGGGATTGAGTTATTGCTTTGACACGTGGGAAGCTTTTAGCCAGATTGCGTTTTCTGGGATTGGCCGGTGATGGTGCTTGAGGGCTGAAATCACAATTAATAAAGAGGTAGAATTGGGCCAGGAATCACTGTAACAATACATTATCGTTAAATGGGAATTTATCGTCGTCGGGTACAATTCACCCAATCGACCACCAATTAAGACGAGATTAAATTGAACGTTGTGGACTTTGGTAAGAGATTCGCAATCAACGTGCTTCGAAATGATGTTCAATGAGAACATTAACACATCACTAATGAGTAAGTTTATTGGTTAAGAGGACATTTGATATGATTTATTAACAAGATAGGAGCTTAGCAGAAGATGGTAGTTATTCAGTTGAGGAAGTGGAGGACTTTAGTTACTTTAAGGAATTTAATTGGTTTTAGGAAGTTAAGGAATTTAAGGAATTAAAGCAATTTAGCGAATTTCACGAACCCAAGGAATAAAAGAAACGGTAAAAAAAACTTGTGGAACATAGTTTAAGGAATTTAAGGAATTTAGGAAATTTAAGGAAATTAGGAATTTTAGGGAATTTCAGATATTAACAATTTATTTAACCGTTATGTGATCGACAAAAAAACACCTTTAGGAGCTCGACAAGGGTACCCGGGTACCCACAAATTGAAATACTTGCTACTGCGGACAATTTTGACCGATTTTGAATCTTTTGGCACCATTGAAATCAGAAACTTATCCTTTTTCTGGACATTGCCAACAATGTCCATCCGGAATGATCTGGTTCCCGAAAATTCGGCTTTCCTGTATAATGTTCCAGAACTAACCATTTTCCTGCCACATTAGCTAGAATTTCGGAGGAATCGATATCAAAGTATCAGAATCTCCTTCAAGAAACAATTTCAGCTTACTTGAGGACCAGTTAAAGGTTTCTTCCCGAATGGCCATTCCAGCGCAGGTTCCCGTAGGGCCTCTAGTGGCCATTTTTTCCAACCAGTACTTAGATCTATTGTGATATATTCCCCGTTTTAAATCAGCATGTCGAAACACCATTTCATGAAGCGACCGACATAGACTGACCGAAAGCATTTTCCCAGTCAGGTATTACATTTCGAATGAATTGCACTCAGCCCCTTATCCAGAAAAATACGCCTCTTATTGAAGATTGCTGTACAAGAGCATAGCAGATGTTCAGAGTCTTCTTTTTCTATGCCCCTATAATCGACACATGTCATCTTGAACTTTTCCTATTAGCTTCAAGTGATAGTTAAATGGACAGTGCCCTGTTATTAAACCAGTGTACATACTGAGATCTTTCATTGATAGTAAAAGAATTTTGCTAGTCATTGAAATGCTCGGATTAATAAACCGTTTCGGCTGCCTAGCAATGAGAGTGTTGTTCCAATTGGTCTCCACTTTCATTTTTTCCCATTGCTTGAACTCCATTCTATTACCCCGGACAGACTATGGCTTATATCATGTAATATAAGCTGTCTTGCAATGAGCACTCATACATAGGATTTCCAGTGAAAACTAGATGTGTGGGTGCTCATTGCAAGACAGCCTATATTACATGATATTTATAAGCCATAGTCTGTCCAGGGTATAATACCCCGTTCACATTACAGCGTATATCACGTGATATACGCTGTCTTGCAATGAGCACTCATACATCTAGTTTTCACTGGAAATCCTATGTATGAATCCTCATTGCAAGACAGCCTATATTACGTGATATAGGCTGTAATGTGAACGGAGTATAATACCCTGGACAGACTATGGCTTATATCATGTAATATAGGCTGTCTTGCAATGAGCACTCATACATTGGATTTCCAGTGAAAACTAGATGTGTGGGTGTTCATTGCAAGACAACCTATATTACATGATATAAGTCATAGTCTGTCCGGGGTATAAGAGAGCAAGCAGAAACTCCACAGAATGGTTCTGGTCCTATAAATTGTTAAGATGATCCAAGCCTAGCTAGTGTGTCGGCTTTCTCATTCCCTTGAATTCCACAGTGACCAGGAACCCAAAATAAGTTCACTTGATTTTGGCAGGCCAATTTTTGGAGTGACATTGCACATTCCCATACAAGTTTAGAATTACATATTGCTGATTTCAAAGCATTTAGTGCTGCTTGGCTATCAGACATAATGCAGATATTCGAATGCCTATAATTTCTACGCAAGCAAATTTTAGAACATTCAAGAATTGCTTGGACTTCTGCTTGGAACACGGCACCTTGTCCTGTTACCCCTGCTCCTACACGATTATCCAATCAAGAGCCGTCTGTATAAAAGACAATTGATCCTGGACGAATGTTTGGTCCCCCATTGTCCCACAAATCGCGATCCGCATCTGCTACATTGTAAAGACGATCGAAGTGATATTTTTTCTTCACCCAAACCTCAGTTTGTAACACAATAGAATCAATATTGAACATTTTTAGAATGCTCATATGTCCTCTAAGATCACCTTCAAAGGAAGTGCTGTGACCGTCGGATCCTTAATGCACTCCTTTCGGCTTCTAATTGAATACATTGATGCAACGGAAGCAGATAAAGTAGAGCATCTAGTGCCATATTTGGTGTGCTACTCATTGCACCAGTTATTGAGAGAGTAGCTAGTCTTTGCAGCCTCCCCAGGTTTTTCTGGGCTGATTTTTCATTGGTGGCCTTAAACCAAACCAATGATGCATAGGTTAGTCTGGGTCTTACAATCGTCATATAAATCCAGTGGATCATTTTAGGTTTTAGTCCCCATTTCCTACAAAAGTTTTTTTTACTTATCCAAAGAGCATTTGTTGCTTTACTAATGACTTGCTCTAGATGCGAATTCCAATTTAGTTTGCTGTCAAGAGTAACTCCCAGATACTTGACTGTGTTTGAAAGTTCTAAAATTATTCCTCTCAGTTTAATACTATTTATGGACATTTTTTTTTCTTCGTGTAAATGGTACAATAGTTGTTTTAGATGGATTAATATTCAATCCTTCGCTAGTGCACCACGATGAAACATAATTTAAAGCAATTTGCATTCTACTTGAAATGATATAGTCATATTTTCCACGCACTAATATGACTATATCATCTGCGAAGCTAATAATCTCGAAGCCCTGTGCTTCTAAGTTTTTGAGAAGATCATCAACTATTAAAGACCACAGTTGAGGTGAAAGAACACCTCCTTGAGCACACTCTTTTACAGCTCTTACTGAGCTTCCAAGGTCTGCTGAGATTTATCTTTTGCTAAGTATTTCGTTAATCCAATTAACTATGCTTTTATCAAACTCATGTTTTATCAGCGTTTTTCGTTGAGTGATAAGATGCATTATCAAATGCTCCTTCAATATCAATGAACGCTGCTAGGGAAATTTCTTTTGATTCAAAAGATTTTTCGAGTTTTGTAACCAGCGTATGAAGAGCTGTTACGGTTGATTTACCAGTTTGATATGCAAACTAATATTTATTAAAAGGAATTGTAACTAAGTACTTTAACTTTATATACTCATCTATTATTTTCTCCATTATCTTCAGCATAATGTAAGATAGGCTAATCGGCCTGAAGGATTTAGGAGACGTTTTATCCTTTTTGCTAGCCTTCGGAATAAATATAACCTTAACTCGAAGCCAGTTTATTGGAATATAGCTTAATGTTAAGCTTGCTCTAAACATGTCTGTAAGAATAGGTGTCAAAGTTTCTTTCCCTTTTTGGAGTAGTACTGGAAAAATTTCGTCCCTACCTGGTGATTTGAAAGGTTCAAAAGAATGAATCGCCCATTCAACTCGTTTCTATGTAAAAATTATTTTGGCCAGATTTTGAGCATTTTTCTGGCTTTCTCTGAGCCAGTCGACTCTGTTCATTGTTTCCTGAACATGCGTCCTGGTTTTTTTCAGAGACAGTTTTTGCTGCACATATATTCTGGTCTTCATTTATGTTAGAAGTTGAACATGGAAAGTGTGTTTTCATCATTATCTCTAACGTTTCCTCCACTGATCCAGTAAACGTGCCGTCCTCTTTTTTAAGAGTTCCTAGGCCATTTGAATGATCTTTTGAATGAATTTTCTGCAATCTAGCAGCAATTGGAGTATTTTCAATGTTTTCACATGTATTCCTCCAATCCTTCCTTTTTGATCTTCGAATTTCCCTATTATAAGCTGTTAGGGCTTCTCTATATTGATACCATTGTTTTGTTATTTTTGCCCGGTTAAATAGTTTCCGGGCTTTCTTTCGAAGTTTCTGTAAGGTTTTATTCCACCAAGGTACATCTCTTTTGGTAGAACGTTCCTTTGCAGGACAGATTTTGTAATAAACCTGTTGTATTAAGCCAAAGAGCTGTTGAGAATTGTTCTCAAGTTCAATGTATGTTTTTGAACATTGGGTATGATAAATTCAAGAATTTTGATACCCATATTGTAGGAACATCCATCCAAACAACTTCTATGGCCACTAGAAGCCCTACGGGAACCTATTCCGGAATGGCCATCCTGGAGACAATCCATCGGATCATCACAAAATTATGATAAACAGTCTCCTGCTGTACATTCATGAATTTTGATACCCATATTGCAGGGTTTTCTTCCCAAACACTTCTATGGCCACTAGAGGCCCTACGGAAACCTGCGCCGGAATGGCCGTTCTGGGAGAAACCTTAAACTGGTCCTCAAGTAAGCTGAAATTGTTTCTTAAAGGAGATTCTGATATCGATTCCTTCGAAATTCTAGCGATTGTGGCAAGAAAATGCTTAATTCTGGAACATTATACAGGAAATCCGGATTTCCGGGAACCAGACTATTACGGATGGACATTGTTGGCAATGTCCAGAAAGAGGATAAGTTTCTGAATCCAATGGTGCCAAATAATTCAGAACCGTTAAAAATGGGCCGCAGTAGCAAGCAGCTCAATTTTGTG